GTTGTGATTTGCTGTATAAATAAAACTCAAATGAACTGAATTGAACGAATATGATGCTGCACATTAAACAGTATACACAGTATTTAAAACGAGCTCAGTCTTAAACATATGAAGCACTAACATTAATTGATTGAACACGGGGACACATTTTTCTGCAGGATAATTATTTTTATTCTTCACAATAGAGTTTTTTGTGTACTGAGGTGATTCATAAATGGAAAGGTCTGTAAAATTCCTCCACTGCTTGTTATTTTCAGCTAATAATAAATGCTTGGTGAATGCTGTCACTGCATTCAGCTAGAACATCACGTCAGTAGTAACGGCACCCGGGTCACTAATATTAACATTAAATCAGTGTGCAACTAAACAGTGTCGGAGTTTGTGGTTTTCTCTGGTCTTTCCCAGTCAGAGCAGCAGGGACACGTTCAGCTCTCACTTCTAAAAATCTGTCCAACTTTATTAAAACCTCCAAAATGTGACAATCCAGAGTTGGGACCAGGAAGCAGAGTAGTCTGCTATCCTCTTTGTGTTGGATTACAGCGAGTAGATGCAGACTCACCCGGCCTGCAAACGCTCCACAGCATACAATCTGTGTTCGATTCAATTTAATGGATATTTAATATATTTCATTTAATGGAGGTATATAAAGCAAACTACAGATATTTCACAGCCAGGACATCACAGAGTGTTAATGAGTCGACTATAATCGAAGACTAATATGCTGCACAGTGTATAACATGAGAGGAGCATCGCTGAGTCACTGCAGCAGGACAGCAGCAGTGAACCAGTCCTGATGTAAACAGGACTATATGATATTTATGCTGACACAACATAAATAAAATGAGCCTTGATTATGTGTTTCTGTGTCGCTGCTGAAACGATTTCTGTCTCAGCACACTAAAGAGCTGACATCTCTTTACCAGCCTCTTCAAGGCTGGAAGAAACAGATTGCAAACCACCTTTACTGAGGTCAAGTGTGTCTCTAACACAGTTTATTCAAAAATAGAAACAGAGATGACAAACAGATGCTGAAGATCTAAAATTATTATTCAAAGCTGCAGAGAGTGATGCACATGATGGGACATCGTGCTGAAAGTTCAGCTTAGAAGGAGCGAAGAAAAGAAATCAACTTAATCAAAGAACTGAGAGCCAGCAAATGTGACAGGAAGGAAAAGGATTCAGAGCACTGGGTTTATCCAGAAAACTCCCACAAACACGAGTGTCAACAGAGCATCAGCACGAAATGAGCTGAAGGAGTACTAGGACCAAGTCAAGAGAAGAAATATTGTTGACCATTCTGAGATTAAAGTCAGAAATGTGACCTAAAAGCTGAGTTTTTAAAAGCAGACCATCGTTGTTGTTCAGAGAGTCCTGTAATCTCCCCGTGTGGAACCAACACTCGTCGGTACACTTCAACCTTTGGAGACTGTTACTCTGAAATCTGGATTAGTGAAATATTTATCCATTCTTGTCTTAAACTGACAGGATGTTGCCATCATTTTAAAAATAGAAACGACTGGCATTTAGGTCCTGCATGTTAAACCCTTTTGTACGTGTGTGGAGGGGAACGTGAGAGAACAACACTGCACACTCCATCTGCTTTCAGCTGCTCTCTGCAGCAAGTAGCTGAACTGGTTTGAACCCAGTTCCTGGCACAACCCGAGGATGAGGCCAAGATTGAACTCTAGGTCTTCTGCTTGCTAGGCTCACCAGTGGGCCTACTGGTGTCACGCACAGTTATAGTTTAATATGACAGTCTTGTAGTGCTGACAATGAATAAATTACCGTTTATAAACATTTTACTGTCATCTGAAAGTGTGCGCGTGCATGCACATATAAACTCCGTGCAGGCACGCGCACGGATCGTCGTGTTCGGGCTCGGTGCCGTCAGAGGATGCTGATGGACACAAACTTACTCAGGTCAGCTGCTGTAAAGACACACATGTGTTCTTCGATAGAAGACCACAGCTGGACATGAAAGTGACCGTTCACGGTCATTTACGTCCACGCACGACAGCAGAAAGCAGAAGAACAAGCGGCTACTTTACGTGTGAGCACAGCTGGCGATGCTGACGGGTTTGTGGTAGACCTCCAGGCAGATGGGGCAGGAGAACTGGCTCTCGATGCTCTCCGCCGGGGCTGCCAGCGAGCCCGGGCCGCCGTTGGGCTGCTGCTGGCGGAGCTGGGAGCTCGCCGACACAAAGCTCCTAAACATCGCCATCATGGAGCCGCAGACGACCTGAAATCGTCGACAACTGCTCGGTGCCCGAAAGAGGAAGCGGTCCAAGCACTCAGACAGCTGGTAGCTAGTGCTTCATGTCGGGAGTTTGAACTAACGTTCTGCAAACATGATGGCTTTGGCTCGGCATAAAATCCTCCACTGAGCACAGCATCACCTTTCCGCGGCTGAGAAAGACACGCCGAACAAGTAAACAGTGGGAGTGTTGTTGGCGAGTGTGCGCACGATGCCGCGAGGATGAGCTGAACAAACAAAGTGAGCTACGAAAGCAACGCGCAAGCAACGCGCAAGCAACGCGCAGCGCCACGGAGCCGCTCGCTGTCCGCTGCCAGCGGACGCGCGCGAGGCAGCCACAACAAACAGCCTGTGCGCGCGACGCTTTCTGGAAGCTGGAGTTCTTCTTCTTTGGTGTTTAATGGCGGCTGCTCGGTGCATTACCTCCAACAACTGGTCTGGCATGTGGATCGAGCCTATCATACAAATGCGTTTGTCTAAGATGAAGAGATATTCCCTGATAACTTCCTGAGTTATTTCTAAATCAGTTCAATCTAGTTTCAGTTCGATTCTGTTTGGGTTTTGAATCCGTTGTCTTCCTTCTTCCCGACAGTGTCATATAACGAGCTGCTTTTGCCTCATCGCCACAGTGCTCACGCTTTCCAATGTTTGCCTGAAATGAAGAGTGTGCGCTTCGGCCCAGTGTGCCCAAATCTGAGACATGAAGTCATCCTCTCCTCCTCCCCCGTCTCCTCGTTTCTCCAGCTGTTTGATTTCGATGAATATATCTGGTCTACTTTCTGAATTGTAAACTTACTAATGATGAACTGGAATCTGAACAAATGATGGTCTTAATGGTGTGGTGTCTTCAACCCAGTGGCTGATAAGGTTACAAGCATTTCTCCTGTGTGTAGCGAGTCCATCATTTATCAGTTTCCCTACTTTGATATTAAACTCAGGTCAAAGTAAAAGCTACTCTATACAGTTATACACAAATATATTTCTGTACTGTACGTGAGTTTAAAGTAAACTCCTCATCCTCATTTCTCTTTTCCACCAAAGTGAAATCTACTGTAGCATCTGGAGGTATCCACAGCTGTATTACTGCTAAAGGTTCTATTTAACTTGAGCTTGATTGCTTTTGGTTTCACAGTCCAACCAAAACTCCTCACGTTTTCTTAGACCCAGCAGGGTTTAACCATTCCCCGAGTTGGATGCGCCTCCATCACCATCTAAGCTTTCCCGGTGATTTAATGTCAGTTGCTCTCTTCTAATATTAAGTGGCATACTGTACTATAGACATGCATACTAGTATATACTTCTCAGAATAATTATTTCCTATCCTTACTTGTGTTTGCCTTCCAGAGAGAAAATCCTTGTCTACATTCACCCTGCGATGCCATCTTCCTCATTTGGATGAATAAACCTTGTCTCCACATCGTACCCTGTGCTTTTTCAATTTCAAAAGTGTCTGTGTCATCTTTGCCTGGCGTGCAGATCTTTACCATTACTGCTTCTTTCCGTTTCCCAGATTTTATTGTAAATAATATTCTTTAGTCACAAAGTTGACTTCTCGTTAGATAACAAACCTGATCTTCGAGGTGACTCTGATTTGAGAGGTCCATTTATTGAATCATCTACATCTGCGTGTTCTAATAACTCTCTATTCTCTGACGTTTCTCTTCCTGTTTTCCCTTCTACAGTAATATTATCTGAACTACGTATTTTAACAGATGTTTAGCCACCAGCTATGCTTTTCTGTCAAGCTCCAAGTGAGCGGCTCGTGTTTCCCCAGTTCCGCACCTGGCCGGGGTCCTGGCCACTCCCACTCACCTGTTCCTCATTCCGTGGCAATCAGTGTGGCCTACCTTAAAAGCTTATGAATCCGATTTAAACCATCTCTGGAGTCTTTAATTTAAAAAAAAACCCCAAACCCTAAAAGAATCGTGTTGTTGCCATTTATTTATAAAGGTAGTAATGTTATGTTACCAGGGGAACAACAGCCTGTGCAAGAAAGGTTACATTAAACTAACCATCAGCAGGGATAATGTGTGTTTTTAGTTTGAATATGTGCATAGTGCATTGTCATCTAATACGAGATTTCTGGTATATGTAATGATTGCTTTTATCCATTTGTCTCTTTGAGGCTATGATAGCGGTTTTTCTGCAATGATTCTGGGTTTCATTGATATGTGAGGGTACATAAAAACAACACTTACAGTTGCAAAACATTTAAACCTCACTGAGAAAATCTAAAATACAAAGTCACCATATCAGATAGTTAATAGTTACAGTTTGGTACTTAGTTTTCTTGCTTATATTTCGAAATGTATATAAAATGATAAGCCCATTTCTACTTATATTGTTTATACTTAAAGACAGGGACAACAAAACAATGTCTGCGCCATAACGGCAACACTGAGGTCACGCTGTAACACGTTCACATCACCTGAGTGACGTATACACCTGTGTCTGCAAGAAAACACTTTCTCTCCACACCACTAGGTGGCGACATACATCACGGTCTACCAAAGAAGCGTTTCCTACGTCATCAACCAGCGACACGATTCAGACACGAGCCTGTGGTGTGGAGGCAGTGGGTCAGTGCTGGTCTGCTGATGAAAAGAATCAGCTGCTGGAGCTTTCACTGATCTGGCAGTTGGAGCTCGCTTTGGCTGCTTGCTGTTTCCTCTCCTAACGGCTGCGATGTGTCAGGTGGAGGAAGATTACCGGGGGGAGATGGAGCGCGCCGCCGCGCCCAGGTAGGCTGAGGTCTACAGTGCTGACAATAAGCATGTTTATGGATGATAAAAAGGCCCAGCGATGAAACGCAGATAAGCTTAGCTGGGATTTGATCGACATCATAACCGCATTAGTTTGGATATCACATGGAGGGGAATAAGAGTCCAGCAGCTGGGATGTGTTTGTGAATGTTGTAGCCAATTCATCTGCATCGTTTAAAGTGCTAAGATCCGTAAAGCTTAGCTTTATCACATGCATTCATGAGAACAGGTTTAAATCATGAGTCTGCGATAATGCAGCGACGGAGCTGCCGAGCTTCTCTCCGCTTTACTCATCAGTTCTGTCCGGAGCCGCTGGTTGAGTCTACGTCCAGATTTAAGCATCTTCTTCTTTGCTGATCCTTAGTTATTATTACCTCTAAGTATCTCACTTCATTTTAACTTGTACATTAGAAATACATGTACTGGAACGTCCCTTATTAGCCTCAAGTTCACACTTGATAATATTGAGATCAGAGGCAGCAGCTCGAGAGAACACTTGTCCCAGAGCAGCAGGCCATCTGAGCCCAAAATCGTCGCTTCCCCAACCCGTACGAAAAGGTGTAAAAACATTCGTGTAATAAGTCAGGACGCCGTAACAACTCCACCTGAACTCTGCACCGAACACCAGCCAGGTCATGGAACACCACCCTTTACGTCACGGGCTGTGCAAACCGGCGTTTTGGGCCGTAGCTGAGCTCGCTGTGGTGGCATATCAGTGACACTGGGGACACTCATCCACTTAATTTAAACTCCAATCAGAGGAGGAGTGCAGCCCACACCAGTTCATCCAGGTTCACTTTGTTTGCCTCTGTAGATGGAGGAGGTACAGTCGTCGTTGGTACCGTCTGTGTGCTAAGCCCACCGTGGATTTTTAATGTTTTTTAAACATAAAGCGAACAAAAGGCAGAATGCTGTGACTGAATCAGCAGACCTCCTGTTCATCTGGACGTAGAGAAAGGTTTCATCATCACCAGGTGACTCCTTCAGTCAGTCTGCAGGTTTCCAACCTTAGACTGACTGAAACTAGCACCACTGATGAACGATGGGCTGGGAGGTCAGTTTATAATCATCCATTCGCTTCCACTGGAGCCTATCGCAGCTGTCATAGGGCGAGAGGCGGGGTCCACCCTGGACAGGTCGCCAGTCTGTCGCAGGACTAACGCACAGGGACAGACAACCATTCACTCGCACATTCACACCTAATGGCAATTTGGATTATCCAATTAACCGATAATGGGAGGAAGCCGGAGTACCCGGAGGGAACCCACGCAAACACGGGGAGAACATGCAAACTCCACTCCACACTGTTGCTGTGCGGCAACAGTGCTAACCACCGTGCTGCCCAGTTTATAATCATTGATGTGGGAATGATCATGATCATTGATCATTGGCCGTGAGTGCCGTTCACAGAGAGTTGGGGAATGGCCTCAGGGCCCTTTGTTCCTCAGTCATAACCAGACGGGTTGAAATGTGGGGATTTTTGGCTGAGATGACCTGCAGGATTCTCTGGAGGTTTATTTATTTACACGCTGAAACTCAGCATCACAGAAGCGGACCTCTCTCTCATATATGAAGCCACAGCAGAACTTACAAGCTTCAATGCAATTCCTGAAGTGATCCTGATATTAGGAAAATAGTAAAGATGCTGTGTTCACTGAAAATAGAATAAACGCAGCATATCAATTATTGAAACTGAGAAATGGTTTCAGTAAACACTTCACTTCAACAACACTAAATATGTTTAAAAATGCTTATCGTGTAAATGAAAAACAACCTTAGTCATGCGTCACTATTTGCTACCAGAACAACTTAAGTCTTTGGAACTCTGCTGGAGGAACCATGGAGAACCATAGAGAACCACAGGGAACCATAGAGAACTATAGGGAACCATAGAGAACCATAGGAAACCATGGGGAACCACAGGGAACCATAGAGAACCATAGAGAACT